CTATCGTGTATACTAATAGTATAATACTATACACACGTACTGCCCAATTTTTTTTAATTAAATCATTACTTTCATCATCATACATCAATGCTTTGATGATGATGATAGTAAAATAATAATAATAGTAATAATAATAGTAATAGTAATAGTAATTCTAATAAAAATAATAGTAAAAGACTATAATGATCTTCTTGCAACTTCATTTTTTCTTAAAAGCAAATTCTTCTAAATGTGACATTACTGACATCCTTCTACAATCAAGTCCAGCCTCTAAAGAATTTGCTTTACGATGTCACATTTTAAAAAAAATAATTATTGTAATTGTATGTATGTAATTATTTATAGATTTATTAGTTTGATGGCTAAAATAATAATATCTCTAGCTCATGAAATTTTTCCCAGCTTAGCTTGTATATGATCAAAGTTTAAGAAAGTGGGAACAAAGTGAGAATGTATAGTTGTGATTAGTTAAGAAAAGTAAAAGAATATTAGCTACACAATACTTTCCAAAAGACAAATGAAGAGAATGTTTATGATATCCCGAAAAATAAGTGAGAAGGACTTTGTGGAACGAAGGGAATACCATGTAGGAAGTACTACCTCTATCTCCAAAAGGTTTGCAATGTTAACTTTCTTTTGGTCAATGATGACAAAGTCTTAACAATGATTTTAATTAATAAGGAGTATTTTAATATAATTTTAATATTTAAAATAATTAGGCATTGAAAAAGTATCATTCCTCAAGTTTTATTTATGCTTTTTACTAGCCTACTAGGGGTGGGCAAAATGGTTTGGTTTAACCAAACCGAACCGAAAATTGGTGGTTTGGTTTGGTTTGAGTTCACTTAAGTAAACCGTTTGGTAAAAATTCGCTCAAACCGAATGGTTTAGTTTGGTTTGATTTGGTTTCAAACCAGAAAAACCGTAAACCGAACCGAACACCGAACAACTTATAATATATATATATATATATATATATATATATATATATATATTTCCGGGAAACATTTACCATCTTTTATTAAATAAGTACATTAAAGATCTGATATAATGCGGTAGATTACTGGGGTAGATAAAGTTTCTAAAAACAGCATTATGAAGTCCTTCTTGTTCCAGATAATGAGCAACATAGTTGCATTCTCTAAAAATATGTCTGATCTGAATGTTGAAAAACGTACACAATCGTCGAGTTGCCTCAACCGTACGCTGAAGATAGATCAGCGAAGAAAACCTTTGCGTTAAGATATTCAACACCATCTATGAGTCACATTCTAGCTGGAGGTCGGAATATCCCAATCTAGAGCACCAATCTAAAGCCATGTATGCCGCCTGAGTTTCCGTTTGGAGGACTGTTCGAACCTTCATTGGAGAGAAAAAGGACGCCACCATCTCCCTTGTTTCATCTCTCAGAATCGCCCCACATGAACTTCTACAATCAACAAAAGCCACATCCACTGATAATCGAAGCTTATAAGGGTAAATGATTTTCCAGATAAGTATCTTGGTCTTGCTTCTACACAAATTACTCGGCACTATTCCTTCTTGAATTAAAACAACATCTATGTCGTTGTTCTTAGGTATGGATATGGATAACATCCATTGCTGACAACACACAAACTTTGTATTTATCAGGTTTTTGATGCCTTGAACCGCACAATAATTTTTTTTTTTTAAATGTGACATCCTAAAGCAAATTCTTTAGAGGCTGGACTTGATTGTAGAAGGATGTCACATTTAGAAGAATTTGCCTTTAAAAAAAATGAAGTTGCTAGACGATTATTATAGTCTTTTACTATTATTTTTATTAGAATTACTATTAGTATTACTATTACTATTATTATTAAAATAATAGTAAACCAATAATAATAATAATATTAAATCTAATAAAACTAATAGTAAAAGACTAATAATCGTCTAGCAACTTAATTTTTTTTAAAAGCAAATTCTTATAAATGTGACATCCTTCTACAATCAAGTCCAGCCTCTAAAGAATTTGCTTTAGGATGTCACATTAAAAAAATTATTGTGTGGTTCAAGGTCTCTAAAAAATAATTATTGTGGGGTTTTTCTCCGCCAACTTTGTGCGGCGCAGTTAGTTTGATGCCTCCTTGGCGTCGGTTTTAAGAATCGATCGAGCGTAGCGGCAGAGCAATGGAAGAGGAAGAAGACGGAAGTTCTAGGAAAGAGCGAGTCCAAGAAAACGAGCAGGTGAGCAGTATTACCGTCAAGTATGGAGAGCGAGTGGACGGAAATCATGGTCAAATATGGGTAGCAAATGGCTAATTTCGGAAGGGAGCTCTTCAGGAGGTGGCAAGCACGCATCAAGCTTCGTGAGGTTAGTGCGGGAGATGCACTCGGATGGGGCGGGAGAGAGCACTCAAGTTGGAATGGGGAATGCTATGAACTCAGGTGACACACAAGAGGAAGGAGTGTCAGGAGAGCTGAAGAGAAGACGCACTTGGGAGGACAAGCTAGGGAGGATGCTGCAAAGGATGGTATGGCGCTACATTCCCCAAAAAACGGGGTTGGGGCAGGCGCTGGACTCCAGCCCCGCCAGATGATCTGATGCTAGTTGATATGCACTAATTAGTAGTGCATAAATGTATATTTTTATGTTTGATTTGTCTGTATTGTTTACCATTTTTATTGGTTTGTAAACATTTGTTTTATTTGGTTTGTAACTGTTTTTAGCTTCCATTTATAAGTTGTAAAGTAGTGGTAGAAGTTTGGGCAAGGAAAAGGAGGGAAAACAAGAGGAATGCTGCCCAGGGACACTTACCCGGTCGGGTAGGAATACTCACCCGGTCGGGTACGATTTAACAAGCGAAAGTGCCTGGAAAATCACTGGACCCGGTCGGGTCCCCTACTTGACCCGGTCAGGTCAGATGTGACCCGGGACAAAATGACGTGCTGAAACACAAGAACGTGGAAGATTATTTGATTTTGACATGCACCTGGTCGGGTGGACACTTGACCCGATCGGGTACCCGGCCCAAGGTGTTAAAAAACACCTATAAATGGCACACTTTTCCTTCACAAATAATCATTCCTTCTTCCATACTCTTAAGCTCAGTTTAGAATAGTTTTTCTTTTATATTTTTATAGCATGTTTAGTCTCCAAATTAGGAGCTAAACTTCCATTTCTTGGTGTTGCTCTTGAAGCTTGTTGATTATTAAAGTTGTGAGTTATTTTTCTTAACTTCTTCCCTTGAATATTAATTCTTCCCTTAATCTATCTATATATTAATGTTGGGGAGTGTTGCTAAGATGACAATTAGTTAACATCTCGACATTAGTTATGGTAGTATTCATTTACTTCCTATATATTAATGTTGGGGAGTGTTGCTAAGATGACAATTAGTTAACAATTCGACATTAGTTATAGTAATATTTATTTTCTTCCTCTATATATTAATGTTGGGGAGTGTTGCTAAGATGACAATTAGTTAACATCTTGACATTAGTTATAGTAGGATTTATCATCTTTAATGTTCTTCTTTGAATATTAATTAATTCCTATTCATATTTCATATTAATATTTTGAATATTACTTAAAGGATCAACTAGTTTTGTTTCATATATTAATTATTACTAGAATCGATCGACGAATACGCTTGTTAATCGTTGATGGTTTCACAAGTAAGTAACTTCGGTTTATTAATGCACGGTCGTGGTTAATAAACTCAAGAGGGATTAATTTTGTTGGTTAAACCGAAACCGTTGTGTTGAGGTTATCAATCTCAATTGATTTCATCAGGGAGTTAAGAGATTAAATGCTACTATCAAGTCGGTATATGGCGGTGTTCTGTACTTGACTAATAATAAGGGTTTTTAATGAACGGTCGTTGTTAATAACTACCATCGATGAATTGGATATACTCCTCGATTGAGTATTCGAGAGGGTATAAGTTATAGATATAACAATGATCGACTAAAATATATCAACATGTGGAAAGTAGCAATGCCAAGTTATTTTATCTTTTAATTAAATCTCATATAAATCGTTCATCTTCGTATTTAATTAAATTAAATCACTCAATCTCATAACCCCCTTTATTTACTAGTTTTACTAAAAAGGGAATTATTCCTTTCCCTATGGATACGAACTCTACTACACCATACTACTGGTTTCGGATTTTTTAGCTGAGAAACTTATTTACTCTTTTTGTTTGGCTTTATTTATTTCTCACGTTCTATATGTTGTTTTTGTTTTGGTTGTGTTGTGTTTTTCCAGCAAAAAGAACTTGTGAAACTAAAACAGGAGATGAGGAGTCGTGTCTGCAAGTCATATGCTCAGGTAAGCCCAAAGCGGGATCAACGAATTATATGACTTCTACGGAGGTGATTAATTCAGAGTTTGGTCCTTGGGCGGACAGTAGACAGGAAATTTGTTGTCACTTTGTAACCTGTTTTGGTTTGGTTCGTTTGGTCTGTTTGGTTATGATAAGTTAAGCCAGTTATGTTAAAAAAACATAAACGAAGTATCATCTTAAATTTTACACATTTCATACATTCATTATGACAAAGTTAGCTAATACGACATATTTGTTAAGTTTGGTGATAACAATAGCAGATTGCATTTATATTTTTTTATATTTGTTTAAATACATTTGTGAATACTACAACATTTGTACTACCGACTCCTTTAATTTTTTTTTGTATGTTTTATGTGATACTCCTTATTATAAATGCTAATCAACTACTACGTATAATATACTTTTTTTGTGAGAAGTGAATCTTTTTTAAGTGATCGAAAAGATGTTTGAAGTTATAATTCATAATATTTTATTATTTCTTTTTCTATTGTTTATTTTCTTTTATATTTTATTTAAATAAAAAACAATAGAAGATGATATGGACTATTACTTTCATTTTCTAATTCTAAAATATAAGAATTGATCAAATCGAACTAAATTAAACCTAATACTTTTCATTTTGGCACAAATTCTCCCAACCCCAATAAACCCAAATCGAAGAAAACGGAAGTGTAAACCGGTTTACCTACCCCTACTTTTTACCCTTTCCCCTTCAAAATTTCTCCCCCCTGCTTTACGTAATTACGTGAGAGGTTCACGGTCCAAAGACCTGATGGATTCGGAGTCGATAAAGAGATTGCTGGAGGGAGAAGGGGAGGAACATGAATCTCCCGCGGTGGTAGATTCCATGCCCTCAAGATTTATTGAGCCATTGATCTCCCATGGATTGAAGATCCAGATTGTCCAGCCCGATCGCCTCCTCTGCTCATTCAAAGTCCCCCCACGCATTGTGGAGGTACTCTTCTAATTTCAACTTTCTGCTGAATTTCTAGGTTTTCATTTTGTTTGATTCATTTTGCTGACTACAATATAATTACTCGTGCGGGAATTTATTCATTGTCTCGTTGTGGAGGAATAGCATTCCAACGGTTCATTGCACGACGGAGTGATTGCGGCGCTGGTGGACGTTATCGGTGCGGCGGCCGTGTTCGTCGGTGGTGCTCCGGCGACCGGCGTCTCCGTTGATATCAATGTGTCCTATGTCGGTGCTGCTTATGCTGGTGTACGTGTTTCTATCTATCTTCAATCAGCTCATTCACCACTAAAAAGTACAGTAGCTTATTTTTAGTGACTACTGCATATTGTTTCTTCGTCCTAAACTCCCAATTGCTCGATAAATGTGTTAATTTGAAATGATTTTTGGAAAACGAATAAACGATCAAATGGATATTTAAGAAGTTGTTCAAAACAGAAGTAAAATATTAGACAAAATTCTACTAAAATTGTATCAGTTTATTGATATTCCTGTAAGTTGTTTTGACGAATCGCTATCATTAGCCGATTGAAGTAAACTATTTGAATCGCTATCAAAACCGAACCGTTTCAACCGAACTCACCCCTAGGTTAATACAGCTTGTGTTGTGCCTTCAACATGACTGCCTAATTAACCCCTAGAGTAGGAAATCAAATTGAACCAAATCCGAACTGGACCAAATCAAGCTGAATAATTCGAACTAAGACTTCATCATGTGCAAATTGGTTATACTTTTATGATGGTTATCCAAATTGTATAATCTGAAGCCTCGACTGAATCTAACCAAATAAGATCAGATTGAATGTATAAAAAAACCTCTATGCATTCAAAAATGTCCCAACTCAGCCAAACTAAAAAACATAGCTTAGTGTGAATATTGAACTATTTTATTGCTATACAGACCACTTAAAAGCCAAAACTCTTCATTTTATCTGTTCTAAACAAACCAAAGCTGGTACCTAAAAAAACAAACAAAAGCGGTTACCCGAAAAACAAACCGAACCCAAATTGTCAACCTCTAGATTGGGTCCTTCTACAAACACTGCACGAAACACCAATACTATGTTCCAATTAATTTCTGTGCCATGGTATCTTTTTGGAAATGCAAGCTACATACTACAACAAATAGCAGAGTAATTCTTTTAAATTTTTTTGGGCAGGACGAAATTGAGATAGATGCAAAGGTATTAGGCATAAAGAATGCAATCGCTGTAGTGAGTGTTGAATTAAGGAACACTAAGACAGGAAAGGTTATCGCACAAGGGCGCCACTCCAAATACTGGGGTTTTCAACAACTTAAAAGTAAGATTTGAAGCTATCAGCACCATTTATGGATCAATGCATCGACCTCTGTGCAGAAGTTATCTGAGGACCACCAGTTCATTTTTATGACATATAATACCTTGTTTTGGCTTTGCTTGGTTACCATGTATCATGTATGAGCCATTAGTTGGTTGTATTGGTTTATGCCAATTACTGTGTGATAATTACAATTATTATAGTTATAATTACATGCACTTATATGATTTCATCATGTATTGGAGCATACAAACGGCTCTATGTCTATCTTTAACGCTCGCTATAGGATCAATAATAGTTGTCTGGAGGTTGTCTTGCATGTTTTTTATATCAATATAAGCCGTTTATAATATAAAAATGGTTCATCACATAATTACATAATTTCAATTATAGTCTGCATATCAAGATTCCGGGTCTTAAGCGGTTTTGATGTGTCAAACAGTATTAGTCACTTGACTTTAAAATACTCAAAAAACATACTCCCTCCGCCCCATAGACAAGTTCTCATTGCTGTTTACGAGGTTTGACTGACGAAAACGAACTCAATCTCTGTTCACACTCAGATTATTTTTAGTAAATAAAATTTACATATTCAGAAACTTCATTAAAACCGCTACAAAGTCTAATCAAGAAAATTTAAGTTTGATAAATTTTGATATACTACCTCCGTCCCAAATTGATTTGCAAATTTGACTTTTTTTGGTCAAACAGTTTCGTTTTGTTCACTTAGGATGTCAATTTTTAATTATATTCTAATTTGGAGTTTACAACTTTGAAGAGATTTTAATGTAGTTTATGAATATGTAAATTTAATTATTAAAAATTGAATTAAATAGCCATACGGAGCATTGACTTTTATTATTGGTTGACCAAAAAATGTTGACTTTGCAAAACAAATTGGGACGGAGGGAGTATAAAGTAAAATATTAAGAGTGATTTAAGTTGACCACTGGAATAGTGAATGAGAACTTGTTTATGGGACGGAGGTAGTATATTGTGCATCTTTTTTTCAGAAGATATAGTACATCTTTATAAACTGAAATATTAATATTATACCCAAAAAATCAGTTTTTGAAACATACTCAAACTTTCTTAAACTATGTGAAACCTCTAGTGGGGCAAGTATATTGCAATGGATGGAGTATAAGATATATCATTTTGCTTGATATTCCATGAGTGAAATTTAACATCAACCCATAGAGACAATGTTAGTTGAGTGAAATTTAACATCGACCCATAGGCCATAGAGACAATGTTAGTACCTCCACTTGTTTTCATCCAGATATATGGGCACTTGCTTGAATTTTTTTAGTAGAAGCTGGAAGGTGTCCTTAATTTGAAAGAGGATGGTTAGTTGCTTTGTTTTGTTTGGATGGAAACTAAGTTCATTAGGTTTATTGTCTGTTCACCTCTTTGTTCAACATTTCAAAACAAAAATGTAGGTCTTCATAGAACTTAAGTTTCTTTAAGACAACTTCAAAAAATCTCAGATAATTTAAATTAATTCTAAATCAGAGGTTTTGGAGGTTAATTGTTATAGTTTTCCTATTAGAAATTGTTATACGTTTACGTAACTTACCACAACAAGAACATCATCTGACAATAAATATGTTGTTAACTTGATATGTAACTTACCAAATTATATATATTTATATAATAAAAAACTGTGTAGTGACTTGTGTTAACTTGATAAGTATCTTACAATATACTTAGTACTTCTTCCATACCATTTTATTTGTCTTGTTTTGTTTGACACACTTATTAATAAAGTGGTTCAAAAATTTAAAATCTTGATTGGGGTTTAAGTATGATATACAGATATAGTGAAATGATATATATATATATATATCACGTATTCCTTTTCAAAATGGAAACAAAGAAATTTATTTTGGAATAATAAAAAATGAAAACTAAGACACATAAAATGAGACAGAGAGAATAATATTTTATCTACTTCACCCAATGTTTAGTATGCAAAAACTTATTTAACTTTGCAGGACAGGAGGGTTCAGAAGTTTCTCTCTCTAGAGCCGCCATCTAGGCTGGCCTAGGGCTTGTTCGGTGGCGGTTTCGGCCGCGGCACCGGGGATACGTAGTTTGGATTTTGCTTTCGGATTGTTTGGACGACTCTGGGAGATTGTTTTTCCCGTTTGTGGAGGTCTCGGCAGAGTAAGGATCTTCTCTCGCAGGTTACTTCGGCGTCTTCGATTAAGGGCGGCTTCGAGATTCGGGGGGGGGGGGGGGGGGGGGGGGGTTCGGGGGGGGGGGGCTGTTCCTAGGAGACGGACCTGCTAAGGTGCGGTGACGTATTCCGTGCGAGCACATGGAGAATTTTGTTGACAAATACAAAAACATGGCGATTGGAGCAGAGGGAGAAGAACTGGATCTAGATGAAGCTGATGTTGAGGTTGTGATAGATGAGAGGCAAGCGCCCCCCCTCCTAAGCCGCCATGGAGTGCAAGCAAATCTAGGGCTTGGAAGATGATGGGTGAACTCTATTTTAATTCCGTTTTATTTTGTTTATGTTTTTCTGTCGAATTGCATGTTGTTTTGGACGTGTTCTTTTTTCCTAGTAGAAAAATTCTTGAATTTAGGTTAGATGATGAGAAGTCTGGTTTTGCCCGTCATTGGCTCAATTAAGCCCATTACAGGATCAACGAATGTTATTGCTTCTACAGAGGTGATAGATTTCCAGTCTGGTTCGGGGGGCGGACAACAGACATAAGGCTTTTTATCGTTTTGTTTATTTCTTTGTCTTTGATTGTATTATCATCCATGTGACGAACATTATTTTGATTTAATATATTAGTTGGATTTGATGATAAAAAACTTTGCAGGACGGGAACACTACTCCTACTTAAAGAGGACAATTCATGCCTTGTCGGCGTGATGGGAAACTGCCGTCCGGCCGAGGCCGTCTGGGGCCTTTCTTGGTGAATGTTTTGATGATTTTTTTGAACATTTTCTTCATCAAGTCTAGTTAATGACTTAATGTCCACTAAATTTCACCTAAAGTTTGAATAATGATTTTAATTATTATATTTACATATAATTTATGAATCTTATACTTTTATAAAAATTCTTTTTAATAGGGAGTATTTTAAAATAATTTTTATATTCAAAACAATTAGGTATTTTTTGAAAAAAAAACAATTAGATATTAAAAAATATCATTCCTCAAGTTGAATATCATTGATTGAAAAATGCAAACTTCTTGGGACATATGGAGTATAAATGTATAATACTCCCTCCATCCTACTATTATTGTCCGAGTTCCTATTCACTTGGTCAACACAAATCAATCTTAATCTCTTACTTTATATATCAAATTTATATCAAATTTGATTCTGGTTTTTACGACTTTGTACATCTTTTAAGTAGTTTCTAAATATGTTAATTTTTTTATAAAAATAATTTGAGTATGGACAGGGATCCGTTTGTTTTATCGTCGGTGAAGCATCGTAAACCGCAATGGGACAATAACAGGGGGGCGGAGGTAGCTAGTAGTTGAACAACCATTCATTATTGGAAAAATTCACATTAATAATCCGACCTATCGAGGATCTTCTCTTATTAATCCGAAATATGAATTATTCCAAAATAATCTAAACAACATATGGTATCTTCTAAAAATGAGCCGGTGACTTGAACTAACAACTTCAGCCGGTTACTCTGCCACGAGGCAAATTTTAATTGGGCTTGATTATTTTTCTATTTTCCTTTATTTATTTTCCTTTTTCTTTTTCCCTTTTTCTTTCTCCCATCGTCTTCTCTGCAACTCTTTCCCAACGACCAACCCTTTTCACTCCCATCTGTTATACGTAGTATACTATAGTATGTATCAAATTCTTCTTTTCATTCCCGTATTTCAAATGTTTCCTCTTCTTCTTGTTTCTTTTTGTCCTCTTAGTTCCATCTCCTTCTATTGTTGGATTTCCTTTTCTCCCTCATTCTGCTTCATCTTCCTGGTAGTGGGTGTAGGAATGTTTCGGGAGATTGGAAACGCCGGCCCTTCTTTGTTCCATCGTCGCCATTAAAGCCGTTGTAGAATTTCAACGGCCAACTGGCTGTCCGTCTTCATCAACATCATCGTCCATCTGAGTTGTTCTTCGACGTCGAACCTCCGTCCATGCCAACCGCTCTTCGTAGCCATCCGTCCCTTCATCCCGATTGGCCCAGCCTCCATGGTTTATGGTCATCAATCAAGTTTCAACATCGACATCCATCAACAGTGTCACATTTGAGTTGGATTGGTGAAATTAAATTTTGCAAATTTGAAATTGAAAGAATTAAACACAAATTTGAGGTGCAAATTTGAGAACAAAATGGAAGGTGGGAAGGAGATCTACTCTCTGCTGTGGAGGGGAAGAAAAAGGAATAGTTAAGAAAATTAAAAGAGAAGGATCGGAGAAACTGAGAAGCCTAGGTGTTAGACAAGAAGGAAGCAGGAATCCTTCAGGTGAAGATGAAGGATCTTTAGTTTTTTTGTTCCTTTTCTTTATTTTTACCGGTCGAGCAGGTCATAGGTAACCTGGACTAATTTGGGAAGACTCATGGTGTATTTGAGATTATTTTGGAATTATGTATACTTGGGATTAATATTAGAAGACCTCTAATAGTTAGGATTATTCTTGTGAATTTTTCCTTCATTATTTTGTTTATGAGGAAAGGGTACCGGGGGGCGTAGCTCATCTGGTAGGAAGGGAGTGCGACAAAGTAAATGTCCCGGGCTCAACTCCAAGCAGTGACTTGGGATGGAGCTACACTCTTTTCCCATTAGAGTGAGATCAAAGCTCAATTTACATCCTCCCAGCTTGCTGTTCGGTCGGTGTTGGGGGGCACTCAGGGATGGGGTGTCATCCTTTTTTATTTGTTTATGAGGAAAGGGTCAATTGACTAAGTCAACTTATATGAGGTGGAGTAAAGAGTACATTATATTGCATTTGATATTCGTAAGTACATAAATTCAATTTTTTAGTGTTACTTGAGTACACCGATTAGATTAACATGTTAATATGACTGAGTTGACTAACAGAATGCTGAGTAAGAATGGATAATCGACCACAGTTATGGCATCGACCTTCACGAAGTCGACAAATAAGGAAAAGTCAAACTTTGAAGGTCGACTTGTGGGGGACATCGACCAAGGGGAAGTAGACATGCGTGGAACTGGAATCGACCAAGGGAAAGTCGACCAAGGGACCAAGTCGACCAAGGGAAAGTCGACCAAGGGGAAGTAGACATGCATGGATCTTCTACACTCAATTGACTTTTTCTTCTTTGGTTTTGCTTTTTACCCTTTTCCCCTTTCAAAATTTCTCCC